TGTCTGATGTTTTTCTCATCCAAAAAAGAAAAAAAAAAGAAGCAAAAAATATTTTTAGAGATTGAAGGAGAAATATACAAGTTTTGTTTTTTTCCCAATTTATTTCAAGTATAATTTACTTTGTACAACATTTGTAAGAGGGCTGGGAGAAAGAAGTGGTGATAACAAGTAGTTTTGGATAATGTAACAGAAAAGGGTCACATACAGTAGCACCTCCACAATTGACCACCTCCTTAGTTGACCTAATTTTCATAGACTGGAACTGCACCACTGTACATATCAGTACAGTAGGCCTAGTTCCATATGTTGACCACCTCTGTATGTTGAACAGTTTGTTACAGTCCCTTGGTGGTCAACTTATAGAGGTTCTACTGTCTTGAAGTTTGCCTTTAAATTTTCTGTGGTAACCTAAAAGATATTTGCCCTAGGTTTTTAAAGTTTAATTTTCCTATTTTTAGCCTTGTACAATATGGTCATGGTAAGCATATTACTATTCAGTTCATAATGAAATGGATTATTTGGGGAACTACAACTTCTCAGTGATTGAATTTCTTGAGGAACCACAGCTCTTTGTGTTCAAAACCACTATTTTAACAAGTCTAAATTCTCTTATTGTCTCTGTTTTTCAGGTGAAACTTATTAGGACTATATTTAAAAATTTGAACTCATTTCCAATTTCTCCAAGCAGCCTAACAAAGGCTAAAAGAACTGGACTAAGATTGGAGCTGCTGTCCTTTGCTCACAAGACAGTTCTCAGCTTTTCAGCCAATTTAACTGATTGCTTTAAAAAATACTTTCAGAGGAACATTTTAGGGTAGAATAGAATCCAGAGCCTCACGACAACATTATTATTCACAATGTCTACCACACAACCCCAAATTGCACTGCATAAAAGGAAACAAGAAAATAGAATCCTTACTCGAGAGAAAAGACAATGAATGAAGACTAGTTTTGAAATGACAAAGATGTTATAATTAGCACATGAGAACTTTAAAGCAGTTATTCAAGAAGATGATTGTTAGGGAAACAGACATATATGACTACAAGGAAAATTAATACCATCCATCTCTGCTAATCCTCAGAGTTCTTCATTTGTGGGTTATGATTCACAAGAATTTGAGAAAACCCAGAGCATGAAAGAGGAGGTCTAAGAGTAATAAAGTCAAACAATGAGCCCAGAGAACACAGAGATACCTTAGGGGACAGAGGAGAACTTGAAAAATTTTTAGTATCCTTAAAGACAGTCAAGAGAAGATTATGCTAATTGAATAATGAAGCCACTGTGAAAAAGGAACAACCATTAAACAGGAAAGATTACTTAGAAATTTAAAAAAGAATAATGCAATTGCTGAAGACCATGTTGGTGTTCTGAAATTTACTAGGATATACAGAAATAAAATTTTAAAAAGGTAGAAAAATATGAGATGAAAGTTGAGGAATAGAAGACAGATCCAAAAAATTCAAGTTTCAGAACATCATTTCTCTGTGTTAGAGAAAGGCAAGTGTCTTTAGATCAAAAAGACTCAGGCAAACCATACAGAATTAGACAACAGGCCCTGGTAAAATGTCCAAACTCCAAGTATGAAGACAATACCTTTAAAAAATGACCAAAACCTATAATAAAAAATGATTTAAGATAGGTTTAACTAGAGTTCCAGAAAAAGGGGACAGAGTGGTACAAAAAAAAAAAATCATTTTTCTCAAAATATTGAATTATACATTGAAGTGATTAGATGCATTGTATTAAACCTATTTTTTTTTTTTT